GCTTGTTTTGTCTGTAGGCAGCATAGAAATGTAGCTCTTAGTGTTATGTTGATTTGTAGTAATCCCGTGAACCCTTTTCCCTTAGAATAAAGTATTTTTAAAAGCAAAGAACTCTCTTCTTTCCAATAGAGCAAGATCCATCAAATAGTCTGAGTATTAAACAATATTTGACTATTTTACAACAGAGATCACTTGTAATAGCAGGAGATCCCCGGCCGCCACCTGGGGATTGGCAGACCTGTGCTCTCACCTTGCCTCCCTGTGCTGTTTTGATCACTTTACTTCTAAAATGGCTTCCTTTTGGTGTCAGAGTCAGTCTTGAAATACAGAAGGCGATGGGGCACAGTGAGGTAAAAAGTGGGGAGGTTTCAGCTCCTTTCATCCGTATACACCATTCTTGCTAAAAAATAAAAGTAGACTGACTCCCCTGCTTTTGCTGCTGCCGGTCAGAGTAGACAATACTGACCTTGATGGACCAAGGAACTGATTCAGTATAAGGCAGCTTGACAGATGTTCAAAGGGGTAGCAGCCGTGTTAGTCTGTTACAGGGAAATACAATAAAAGTCCAGTAGCGTCTTAAAGGGAGCTGCGGTGGCTCAAGGGGTTAAGACGCTGAACTGCAGGCTGTGGAAGGTCGGTAGTTCAGCAGTTCAAGACCCAGGGGAGCCGCATGACAGAGTGAGCTCCAGTCTCTAGTTCCAGCTCCTGCCAACTTAGCAGTTCGAAAGCAAGAAATTGTAAGTAGATAAATAGGGACCACTTCGGTGGGAAGGAAACAGCGTTCCGTGCACCTTGGTTTTTAATCATGCCGGCCACATGACCACGGAAACGTCTTCGGACAGCGCTGGCTCTTCGGCTTTGAAACAGAGATGAGCACCGCAACCCTAGAGTCGGACTCGACTGGCTTTCGAGCAAGGGAACCTTTACCTTTACCTTTTTTTTAGCATCTTAAAGACTAATTACATTTATTTTAATATGAGCTTTTGTGAGTTACAGCAAACAGAGAGCCTTTGTGGCTTCCTTGACTGAGTCAATCCGTCTTGTGTTGGGTCTTCCTCTTTTCCAGCTGCCTTCGACTTTTCGTAGCATAACTGTCTTTTCCAGTGACTCGTGTCTTCTCATAATGTGACCAGAGTATGACACCCTCAGGGTATCCATTTTACGTTCTAGGAAGAGTTCAGGCTTGCTTTGATCTAGAACCCATCTAGATTGGTTCACGGAATCTGTAAAACTCTCCTGCATCACCCCACTTCAGATCAGTCAACTTCCTTCTTCTTGGCTTTTCTTCTAGCTCTCTACTGTACGCACTGAGATACATACTAAAATCTTCTACATCTAAGATCCAGCTCTAATTTAGTCCTCACACTTGCCTTACTGACAGAGGTAGCATAATTACTGGCAGTTCTTACCCTTTCTTATTGGCTGATAAATGTTCAAATAGTTAAAATAGTTTTTACTGTTACATGATAGGCTTTTGATGCGACTGGATCCTTATCTCTTGTTGTTGCTTGTTTAATGCTTTTGATGTTTTGTTGTTGTTCAGTCGCACAGTCGAGTCCGACTCTTTGCGACCCCATGGACCAGATCACGCCAGGCCTTCCTGTCTTCCACCGTCCTCTGAAGTTGGCTCAATTTCGGAAGTGTATTAGAAGGCAACACCCACCGCTCAGGCTCCACTGCACTGTTTTGGATTGCTAGCTATTGGGGGAGGGGGGAACGTGCAGATCTGTCCTCACAAAAGAGGGAGAGCTTGTACCTGAATAAAACTTGGTCTTAAAGGTGCCACTGGACTGTTTTGGGCCAGGGGGCTGGGGGAGGGCTCTGTCACTTACCTGGCTGCTTCCTGCTCTGACTGAGGGCTGCTGGGGGCAGAGGGTGGGGCTTGTTGCATGTGCCCGCCCCCTGGGCTCTTTACTGCCAGAGCTCCGCTCCTGTGCGCTCCTGCAGGAAATGACCCCTGTTGTTAATGATGATTTAAAAACAAACAAAAACATATTTAAAAAGAACAACCTTCCTTCCCATCAGCTTCCTTAATTGTCCAACTTTCAGTCCCCTACATAGTGATGGGGAGTAATATGGCATAAATTATCGTTAATTGGTCACCAGTGACACATCCTAACACTTAAGAATCTTTTTTAGCTCCTTGAGGTCTAGATCAAATCAAGCCTGAACTTTCCCTAGAATGTAAAATGACTAAACTGAGGCAATCGTACTTTGGTCCCGTTATCAGAAGACAAGAGTCACTGAAACAGACAATAATGCTAGGAAAAGTCAAAGGCAGCAGGAAAAGAGGAAAGCCGAACATGAGATGGAGTGGCGCAACCAAGGAACCCCCATGGTCCTCCATTTTCAAGACTGTTAACAATAGGACATTTTGGAGGTCATTCATTCATAAGTCAGAAGCCGCTTGACGGCACTTAACTCGCGCACGCATGATCATACAGGGAATCGTTATGGGGAAGATGATGGGAAGGGAGATTACTCTTCGCTTTTCTCCTTCATTGAGAATATACTCTGGAAAGGTTCACGACAGAATTCACACCAAACTTCTATGCCTCGGCTCCTTCCCCGCAGTAATCTTCCCCATAACAATTCCCAGTCTGATCATCCCTTCACATAATCTGAAGCGAGCTGTGACTCACGGAAGCTCATATTGAAACAGATATTTTGAAGGTCCTGATGAACGTCTGTCTTATTTTGATGTGAATGGGCAGACACGTGTCTGTCCCATCCCCCCCCCTCCACATCTCGATTAGCCTTCCATGCAGTTTTCAAAGGGCCGTGCGGAACACCTGTGGGAAAGAGAATTTGGCTCTGCTTTTCACAGACGGCGACAGCATCCGACTGTGTAAACATTTTACTTCTTGGAAACGTTGCTTGAATGAATATCTTGGCCTGTGTTCCTAGGTACTGTTTATGGGTTAGGGAAGTACAGTTCCTGCTCAGTATAAACACCTGGTGCTCTCCAGAACTAGAATGTGATGTTAGTTTGATTTTAAAACTAATTGCTGGGCATTGCAGATAAAACGGAGTTGTGAGTGGCAAGAATGTCTTAGGGCAGTGGTGGCGAACCTATGGTTAGGGGCTTGCGGGTCCCGCTGTTTTATTCCCACCAGGAGAAAGCAGCCTCTCTCTCTCTCTCTCTCAAAAAAAAAAGGTCCAAAAATGGAAGGCGTGCAACCAGCTTCCTTCAGACTAACCAAAATAACAACACAGTGTGGTAGATTTGGAGTTCTTCAGAACTCTTCATCAGACTGGGAGTGTTTTTTTAAAGGGGGAGAGGGACTGATCTGAATGCCTCTTCATCAGCATCCTTTCTAGAATGTTCTGTTGACTTCCATAGCCACATGATGCATGCTTGTCTCTCTGGGAATGAAAAGGCAGAAAAAAATGGAAGCTGTCCAACGGGAAACAGAGGCAGTAGTTGCTTGAACTTCTCTCTGACAGCAGGCAGAGCAAAAAAGTCCCTTAAAAAGACAAAAAAGCAAAGGAAAAAGCTAGTAGCCCTTACACGAACAAGTCTGGAGATTACTTTTAGCCTGGTTCCACATAGGGTTTAAATTTGGAGTTCTTCAGAACTCTTCATTAGACTGGGAGTGTTTTTTTAAAAGGGGGGGGGAATGATCTGAAGGCCTCTTCATCAGCATCCTTTCTAGAATGTTCTGTTGACTTCCATAGCCACATGATGCATGCTTGTCTCTCTGGGAATGAAAAGGCAGAAAAAAATGGAAGCTGTCCGACGGGAAACAGATGCAGGAGTTGC